TCCCGTCTAGATATGAGGTATCATTCTTTGTGCATACATTTACTTATATTTCGATATCAAGTATAAGCATCTCTCAAAGTTGTAAGTATTCATAAAAACCTATTGCTACTCATATATTTATTACACCTAATGATCACTTATAAACCAGGAATTATAAAAATAGGAAAATGGATTAATAAAAAATGTCTACATTTCAGACTAGAGGTATAGCTCAGTGAGAGTAGTTGCTTAGCAGTCCCCAGACTTGGTATAATCTCTAGGGTCACTAAAAAGTTTATTCCTTTGAGCTAGATTTGAATGGAGAAATGACAGCTAAATTACACAATTATAGCATTTGCTGGTATTGGTGTTGCCATAACACACTTCACAGGAGTTATTAGAGAAGGGTGTCCCTTCCAAGTTGGGCAGGGGTGATATTTACCTGCAGAGACAGTAGTAGAAGGAAGGAAAGTAGGAGAGGGGGCAGCATAGGCTCTGAGCTTTTTCTTAGCCTTCATGTAACAGGATTGGGGTGGTTGGTGTTAAGGAATGAATTAATTTGGCTCCTGAAGAGGGTATTCCTAGAAGGTCTAGAGGATGCTGATTAAGCTCAGGGCACATCAATCAGGTTGGCTTTCCATAGGGAGAGGAGTCATATATCTAAGGAAAAGGAAGAGCCTCCAGCCCAGGGCTAGAGTTTCCCATATCACATTCTTTGGAAAAAGACTCCTTTGGTAATCCCTACTCACTATCAAAGCATGTACTCCATAGATGCTCACTGTGCCACTGAGCCCTGGAGGACTGTTAAGACAACCTTGATTCCTCAATGGAAAATTTCAAATCTAGAAGGGCCTGGAACAATATACTCAAAGTTCTAAAGACCAGGCATGCCAATCCGGATTGCTGCAACAATCCGGCATAGTTAAAGAAGGAAGGAAACGTTCCCATGATACTAATAAGCTAAAATAATCCATACCCACCAAATCAACACTGCAGAGAATGCTTAAAGCAACATTTTGGTGGGAAGAGGAATGAGCATAGGCAAGAGACTCTACAAGGAAAAAAAAACAAAGCTGTAATTACTACAATACAAAGTACAACTAAGAACATAAGCAGCAAAACAACAACAACACACACACTAAAATGGCTGCAACCAAGACACAGTTTTCAATAATAATTTTAAATATTAATGGTCTCAACTCTAATCAAAAGGCACAGACAAACTGAGTGGATTAAGAAACAAAACCCAATTTTCTATTGACTATAGGAAACTCAGCTATAAAGAATGGGGAAAGGTATTCTAAACAGACGGGGGTAGAAAGCAAGCAGTCATTGCCATCTTAATACAAAATAGATTTCAAACTAAAACTAATCAGAAGAGCTAAAAAGAGATGCTTTATTCTACTTGAGGAAATGGTTAACCAAGAAAACATTACTTTCCTAAACTCTGGTGCACTTAATTTCATTATAAAGTGTACTGTTGGAATTTAAGATATAGATTAACATCAACACACCAATAGTAGGTGATTTCAATACTGCAATTTCTCTAATAGATCATTTGAATAACAGCAACAACAAAATGAAGGGAGAACCAGGCGGTGGTGGAGCACACCTTTAATCCCAGCACTCGGGAGGCAGAGGCAGAGGCAGGAGGATCTCTGTGAGTTCGAGGCTGGGCTGGACCGACAGCCTCCAAAACAATACAGAGAAACCCTGTCTCGTAAAAACCAAAAAAAAATGAAGGGAGAAACATCAGAATTAAATAACATCATGCATCAAATGAACCTAACATATCTACAGAATATTCCACCCAGACACCAAAGAATATATACCTTACCCAGCAGCTCATCAATGCTTCTTTAAAACAGATAACATTCTGGGACACAAAACAAATCTCAACAAATTCAGAATATTGAAAAAACTTAATGTATACTATCTACCAATAATGTAATAAAACTTAAAAATTAATAGCAAGCAAGCAAACAACTCCCACGCCCCAAATCCCTCTAGTTAAGTACCCAAACTCATAGAGATTAAACAACTCAACTGAATGATGAGTAGGTCAAAGGAAAAAATCAAGAAAGAAATAACTTCCTGGAACTAGATGAAGACAAAAACACAACAAGATCTCTGGGACACACTAAAAACATTCCCATAAGAGAACTTGAGAGCTCTAAGCCCTGACAATGAAAAATTGGAAACAGCACAATAAATGACTTAATGATGCAATTCAAGAACTTGGAAAAACGACAACAAACCAGACCCAAATCCAGTGGATGGCAAGAAATAATAAAAATCAGAGCATAAATTAATGAGGCAGAAACAAAAAGTAGTACAAGGAAGAAATACATCTGGGATCTGCTTCTTTGAGAAGATACAGAGGATCCACAGACCCTTGGCCCAGCTAACCAAAGAAAGAGAATCCAAATTAATAGAATCAGAAATGAACAAGAAATTTAGAGTTGTATAAAGGAGTACTTTAAAAAAAACCTGTACTCCTTTGAGCTGGAAAACCTAATGGAAATGGATGCATTTCTAGATGTATACAAACCACTGAGGTTAAATTAAGATGAGATCAACAAGTAAATCAGACATATAATAAAGAGATTGAAATACCTAAGAAAAGCATGAAATTAGATGCATTCATAGCAGAAAAAAAGCAGAAGGAACTCCTACAAACTCTTTCTACAAATCCAGTAATCTTCAAATGTCAAAATCAGGCAAAGACACAACAAAGAGAACATTATAGGCCAATAGTGCAGCTGCAAAAATTCCCAACAAAAATATGTGAAAACCAAATACAGGTATATATCAAAAAGATCATCCACCATGATCAATTTGGTTTATCCCAAAGATTCAAGGATGGTTAACATACATGAGTCTACAAATGTATTAAACCATATAAGTGTGTTTTGAAGACAAATTGAATGATTACCTCAATAGGAACAGAAAAGGCCTTTGCAAAATCCCATATGCCTTCTTCCCAGGATGGAGTAGGATTATAGGGAACATTTCTCAACACAATAAAGGGTATTGTGCACTGTCAAGTGCATAGTCAACATTATACTCAATGGAGGAAAACTCAAAGTAATCCCTTTAAATTAAGGAATGAGACAAGGCTGTCTCCTTTTCAATATAGTTCTGGAAGCTCTAGCCGGAGGAGTAAAATAAGAGAAAGAAAACAAGTCAAACCATCCCTAGTTGCAAATGATCTGATATTATATACAAGAGACAACAAGAGTTCCACCAAAAACTTTTAGAAATAATCAGCAATTCAGCCAAGCAGCAGAGCATAGAGTCAGCTTATGCAGTAGCTTTTCTATAACCATCACCAAACACACTGGGAAAGAGATCATAGACACAATTTCATTCATAACATTCTCAAAGGAAAGGAAATATCTCTAGGAATAAATACAACCAAGGAGGTGAAAGACCTCTACAATGAAAACAATATATCTTTGAAGACAGAGATTAAGGAAGACATCAGAAAATGGAAAGATATCAAGCTCATTATTGACAGAATAGGATTGTAATAATGACAAGTCTACCAAAAGCAATTTACAGATTCAGTCCAATCCTAATCAAATCCCCATGACAACCTTTACAGAAATAGAGAAAAACTCAGGATGTTTGAAAAGGGCACAGGGAATTATTATTTTATACTTACCTAGAATTACATATAAAACATATAAGTATATGTGAATAAATGAATATAAGTACACACACAGTTTAAATGCATTTACACCACTTTGGGCTAGCTATAATATTCTACCCAAGAGCCATAGACTATCTAACACAAATCCTAGTACCAGGCACGGGAGACCTGCTTTTGAGTTATTGGGCAGGGGAGTTCAAAAGGATCCTAAAACAATATAGGCTAATGTTATTGTCCTTGGTTACCTCCCAAAAGCTGAAAGTAAGTCCCTGTTGCTGAAGCCACTATACATTTTGGACATAGGACCCAGAGGATTTGACCAAAATTGACCTGGACACCTCTTCCAAGAAACTAGCTTTCATGGCATTAGAAAGCACTATGAAAGCTGCTAAGGGGTGCAAGCCATCATTAGTCCTACCCATCTTTGACATCTACAAACCACAGCAACCACCAGTGTGACAAGGTATCCCTAAAGGTACAATAGTGGCACTTAATCTTAGCAACGGCTACTGGTCTAATTGGACTCAAGGCATACTGAACAGGAGGGAAACCATTCCTGGTACTGTAAACCCAGACAACTACATGTGAGGTCACGGATCTTAGAGAGGAATCTGCAACTGCCCCTTTCCTAAACCAGCACAATTCCTAACTATACTCTAAACACTTACCTCTATATGCAGAGTGAAGTGTAGATCTTACCCTAACCAAAGAAGATCCTTTTTGCAACCAGAGCCCATTTCAGAAAGCATAGCGAGTCAGAACACAGAGAACAATGGACTGTGGGGTACCCAGGCCCAGGTGATACATCTACTACACAACTCACTACATCTGAGGCCCAGGGACCATCATGGAAGAGGGGGTCGGGAGATTCTCAGGGTCAGAAGGCCAAGCAATTTGCTGTGAGACCGTGCCTTCCAGCCACGGCAGGGAAACTACACCCATGAGATGGCAACAACATGGCTGCCACTCAAGACCTTCCATCAGCAATTGACATATCAGCATAGATGGGGGAGAGCTCACGGGGTCCCCCACACCTAGATGAGGAATGACATTCAATTAACAACTGCTGAGAGAGGGGGAATTTGTTTTCCCCGAGGATGAGCCCCTGGTTGGTTATCCAATACTAAGGGGTTATTCCCTAAAAACTTACACATGCAGCAACACTGCATGGACTCAGCAGGCTCTATTTGTGTTTCTTCTCTTTGTGTGCATGTAACAACAATGGTTAAAGCAGAGGAGGCTATGAATTTGGAAGGGGGTTGGGGTACATGGGGGGGTAGACAGGAGGAGAGCAAGCAGGAAAGTGATGCAACCCTATTTTAAAAATTTAAAAGACAACTTTGAAGGACATGCAAAGAATACTCACTGCTTGTGGAGGACAGATGGCTATAGTCGGACCTGAAACAGAAGATGTAAGTAGGATTAGATCTCATTTTTCTTTACCCAAATGAGCCACTTGAGCTAAAAGCTTCGTTGGCGGTGATGTGGTAGTTAGAAGCATTTGCCTGCTAAAGCTGTCACTGGTGAAAAACAGTGTTGAGGCTTCTTTTGTGCAAATGCTTGAATTCTGAAAGCAAAACTGGGGCTTTCATAAGGGTTCTCAGGCCCTCTTGGTTTGTTGGAAAGTTTTTGAATGTTTGTTTATTTTTCTGGTGAGAAAGACTCTAAGTTTCCAATAGATTCCCATTTCCCCAAAAGGGTTACCACTCTCATTAAAGAGCACGTTCCCAATGTTCACACAGCATCGTTGGGATGCTTCTTTGACAACATGATGGAAGTGACCCCTGAAGAAGGAGAATAGCATTTGGCTGGGAAGTAGGGGTGTGGCCACACTCCAGGACTTGTTTACCAGCAGGGTCCTTCAGCACAGGGCACTTCAGTTGATTTCCATTCCTAGTCCATTCCTGCTAGCTAGGAGAGTCGCAGGACGTGGGCTGTGATGGGGAAGAAGTTGAGAAGAAGTGGTCCATGCAGGTTTTATGCTGAGGCTGAGAATTCAGTGGCTGGCAGTCAGTCTCTATGAGAATGGGAATCCCTCTGGGCAGGACTGTGGAGGCTTTCCTCTCTGGCAAGGAATTTGATGTAGAAGCTGTTTATTCTCTTGCACCCCAAAGTCATTCTCAGTAGGAAATTAATCCCTTGGGGATACAGGGACTCACAGAGCCTGGCAGTTAGTGATGCAGTTAGGCAAATAAACTGCTACATCTTATTTAATTTCATCGGTAATACACTCCTTTTATCACCTTAGCCTCCAGTTGCCTTTCCTGAACCATCCGATTTTCACTCTATTTACCACATTCAAATAGTGCATATAAAACTTTCTTTAAAATTGCATTTTATGTGTTAAAATTACTACACTGCTCAGATCACGATGCCCTGATTTATTGGTAAGGAATAAAATGGAAGGAAACGGACATTGGCTTTCTTTTTTTTAAGTGTTTTAGTAGTCAAAAATCACTGTTGTTTCAAACTGGAAAGAATAAAAACTGCAAAAGGAATTTGCTTACCTTTTTAAAAACTGCACTCCCACGTGCCAATTTTAATTTAATTTTATTAGTTGCCGTATTACTCTTGATGACAAAATACCGACAAAAGCAACCTACGGGCGGGTGGAAGGGCTTGTTTGGGGTGGGAAAGAGTATGAGGCGACTGGTCAGCTTGTGCACAGACAGGAAGTGGCGAGAGATGAAGGCTGTGTTGAGCTCACTCCCACCTTCTCTTTCTATTCAGCCTGTGGGATGATGCTACCCACAGCCAAGACAGGTCTCCCCTGCTCAACGGAACCTCTCTGGTAGCATCTTCGCTGACCTGTCCGGAGCTGTGTCTCCTGGGTGAGTCTAAATCTAGGCAATGGATGTAGTCAGTGGAAAGTGAAAGTGACAGCATCTGTAAGGAGACCAGGAAGTGGGAAATGACAGGGTTTGGACTCACTGGGCAGAGTGGATGGATAATGAGCAAGTTAGAAAGTAGGATGGGTTGGGCTAGGCCATAGTGCCATATTAGTTGAGGGAAAAGAAAGCATCAAGGATTGCTGACATACTGAAACCCAGGATTTCAGCACCCAGCATTGGCATGTTAAATTCTCTCTGGGGCCAGACACCAACAAACACATTAGGACAACACTGAGAAATCTAGCTATATAAAGTATAGTGAATGCCCAACAAGCATCCACTATGATAGAACAAATGATGCCAAAGCCCCTTCTGTCACACCACGATCATGGCCAGACTTTCCAGAAATCCACATATGACATGGAGAGTGTGATATTACTATGTGTCCTACAGCAAGAATGTGCCAGTCTTTTCAGATAGGTTGCCAAAGATGAGATTCACACAAGCAAGTGTTGTAAAGCTCTGCATACAGATTGATATGGACATAGACTGAAAATAACACTGAAACCATAGTTCAAGAATCTTGAAATGCGCCGGGCGGTGGTGGCGTATGCCTTTAATCCCAGCACTCGGGGGGCAGAGGCAGGTGGATCTCTGTGAGTTCGAGGCCGGGCTGGACCAACAGCCTCCAAAAACAATACAGAGAAACCCTGTCTCATAAAACCAAAAAAAAAATCTTGAAGTGCATTGATAGTATTTTAAGATAAATGCTAGCATTAAGGATACCCCTCCATGAGGTCCCCCTGAATCTCTCAAGACTTTCATGGCAATGTTGGGGTTAGGCTTGCCAATTGGTCAGTCTCTGGCAAACTTGTGAACTCCAACTCCTTCACACACAGCCAATCTGCACAACACCAATCTAATCATGTCTGACTTCCAAGGACTAATTAAAACACAGACCCCTTTCTCCATGAAGGGTGGTCTCTGGCCAGCTCTGTGGTCTTCATCCCATTAAAACACAGAAAACAGAAGAGGCATCTAAGACTTCACCTTGCTCTCAGACTTCTGGTTCTAAGTTTATGTAATCCGTATATCAATATTGCCACAACAATAGAGATAATGGCTCTGAACTGCTCTTTTCACTTAAAACCATTTGAACATGCTGTTTAGTGGCGCCTGTAGTTGTCATTTCAGATGAAGTGACGCACTGTAATTTACTCAACCCCTTCTCTTTGGAAATGGCTGTGTGACTGTTTCTGGTTCATGTTAGCAAAATAGAGGGTGATGAGATATTTATGAATAAAGTTTTATATGCATTTACTTCCTTGTCCTTAGAAAAATTACCATGATTGGGAATACCGACTGAGTCAAGGTATTTCCACTTCTATGGCTCATGCCATAAATAAGTTTATTTAATGGCAGTTCCAGTGAAAGACAAACTGTAACACTGAAAACAGCTTCATGAAGAAATAGACAAAAAATAATTTCAGGAAACAATCAGGTATTTGACCAGACTGCTCTGAAGGATTTTGTGCTCCTCAAACTTATTTAGGGTAGGTAGGGACAGCTTGAGGTTCTGGTTATTGGTCTCACATCACAAAGTTTTCCCTTGCCAGCTCTGCACACAACATGCAAGTCTTTCAGAATGGAGCATAAAAGGCAAACTTAGGCATTTTAAGATGTAAAATTCTTGAACCTATATAGTAGATGACATATAATAATACAGGATTATTGTCTCACACCACATATATCTATATCTATATATCTCCCAAATATTGTTTTAATATCTGTATGTAAATTGCATGTATTTAGATTATATGGGAAGGCATTCTGTAAATAAGATACTTCACCACTGCTGGAGGTCTCATTAGGCAATTTGCAGAGAGATTCATTTTATAAAAGGAATATCTTTCTAGATTTGCTTTTCCAGGAAACTGTGGCCTAAGAACTGCACTTGGCTTTTCTGTAAAAGTGACCTTCCTGTTGTTGCAAACACATGGCTCCCTGTGTCATGGACTTCCCCTGCTTATTCTTAGCACACTAAATTGAAGGTCACGGTAACAGAGCTAACTAGCCTTGAACACAAACTTCATACAGGACTACAAAGTCATTTTAAAAACTGCTGGCCCATTTCAAACATTTCCGTGCCTGTTCTTTCCCATCTACCTGCTGCACCTCTCAGCTCTTGCCTCTTCGTGTAGGCTCCAGCCAAGCACTGGCTGTAGTTCCCTGAAAGGCGTTACACTGCCTAAAGGTCAGTGACAGCTGACACAGAGGTAGAAGTCCACTGATGCCAGACCAAACTACTGAAGAAAAACAATTCACTAGGTGTGGCCACATGTGAAAGGGCCCGGTAGAGGCCATGTCTTGGAGACTCACTAATGAAATTACCATTGCTGGCACTGGCTTTTATTTGTATTTTCAAGGAACTGCCTGTCCCTCTGTTAAGAGATTCTGTGTCATAAGCTACTTTGCCAAAAGTGGCTTGCTAGTTTCTCCTAACAGCACACAGAAGCACAGGCTCATTTCCCATTGGAGCTTCCAAATGACATCGAATGCCACAGAACAGTCTGCCTTTAGTCTTGGCCCATGGTAGGTGTAGGTAGGTTGGAAAAGGCAGCATTTCCTCCAGAAGAAAACAAGGGCTAACTATAGATGAAATGGTTTCTTGAGAATGGTTACTGGGTTGCATGCAGAAGCCTTGGGCTGCAGACCAATAAGCCATATACCCAATGATACTGCATCCTATTTGCAAAACAATAATGACAATACCAAAGAATGGCTTGTGTATTCTGAATGATTATGCCCAGGCTCCTTAAGGTGTTGAAAAGCATCTGAGTGTCTATTGTGTTGGGTATAAAGAATGTATGGAGCTTGGTACAAGGGCACATGACTGCAACCCCAGAACTTGGGAGGTTGAAGCAGGGTATTCTAAATTGGACTCATCATTTCTACTCATCATTTTTCTGGATAGTTTTCTAGACAAATGGCTCCACTCTCACCCCTTCCTTGCCTTCTACTCCTTTCTAGAGACAATCTCATCTGGCTTCTCACCACCACTCCATTGCCAAAGCCTCACTTCAGTGTCCCAACAGTAAAATGGCACTTCACAGTCCTTATCTTAATGAGCTTTCAGTCAGATAATACGGACCTTGGTTTCTCAAAAACCCATCCTTCTCTTGGTTCCCAGGACAGTCTGATCCTCCTTCTTGGGCTCTGTCATCAGTTTCCCTGCCTTTGACTGACATTTCAATGCAATGGCTTCTCAAGGCTGGGCTTAAGGACAGCCAGCTTTGCTGAGCTGGCTAAGGACTCAGTGAGCCAACCAGGCATGCAGAGGTTTAGAACAACAGGCAGCGAGCAGTGGATGCTGGGTAAATGTTTGCTGTGACATTCAATTGAGTTCATCTCTTCCAGGGCTTCAAGAGCAGTTCCAAAGACGACGTCATGTTAGAGCTCCACACTGAACTCCAGACACCCAACATCTGACTGCCCACCTTCAGACTGCCACTGCCGACACAGAAACATCTCACATTTTCCCTAACTTGACTTACAAGGGATCATGGGCTAGTTTGAGAATCCAATTAAATCTTTTTCTTCTCACAAAACTTTACCAAGTCTATTATTTTATATATTTCTTGAAGCCATTTGCTGATCCCAAGTTAAGGACTGACATCCTAGTGGGTATGTCACTTGAGCTGGAGAAAGAGAGAGAGAGAGAGAGAGAGAGAGAGAGAGAGAGAGAGAGAGAGAGAGAGAGAGAGAGAATTTACCCTGATAGACAGGCATGCCAGGCAGAAAGGGAAGCTCTGCAAAAGCCAGGCACCGGAAAAGCATGCCAGGATGGCCAGGTCAAAGAGCAGAGAGACCTGAGGACAACTGGCCAGCATGAGAGGAGCTCACAGTTCAAGGCCATGTTCAGTTCTTGCCCTTGATAGACAAAAGAGCTGTAAACACTTGGAAGGCAGAGGGACAATACTAAGGAAATCCTTGCATGGGGTACATTCCTGTAATTCCAGCACTTGGGAAGGGGGCAGATCAGAGCTTAACGTTGTCATGGACTACTTAGTGATTTCAAGTCCAGACTACAGGAGACCCTGTTTCAAACATCATCATCAACAACAACAACAACAAGAAGTAGCAAACATTTACTGAGTTCTGTGTGCTTTATACTTGACTAGAATAGAAAGGGAAAACACAGAAAAAATGATTCGACTAGTAATAGCACGTTTGATAGCTAAACTGAAATTCAGAGTATACGGGGTAGATAGCAAAAACAAGGCTAAGGGACATGAATTAAAACTTCTATCTCAAATAATTTCATTTTACATTTTAACTTAAGTTTACTAGTGATGCAATAAGAATTCTTTAAACAATTCTGCCCTGTTATAGCAACAGTCTTTAGTGACAAGCAGAAAGTAGAAGCATGGGTGTGGTGTCTCTATATTAAGTGGCCCTTCCCAGGAGTCATTGGTAGCTCTCATGCTAGCCCGTCATCTGGGGTGAAGCCACCCCTCAAAGGGAATGCTACTCCCTCTTCCCCAAGGCAAGGCCCTTCCAACAACTATCTGCTTTAGGAGAGCCCTGCAAGTTAGAAATTAGTGGGATAGTGGTTGCTTCACACCAACCACAAAAGAGCTGGCAAATTTTGCTTTGTTTCTTCTATTCATGGTTCAGCAAACCATGGGGGAGGAGATGGGAACCAAGGATGGTCAACTAAAGTTGATAAATAATGGGGCTGTGGCATAGTGGAATAATTCTTGTCTATTGTGCATGAGGCCTTAGGTTGGAACCCCAGCACCACAAAAATCAGGAAAGTAATAAATTGACAAGTTTCATACCAACAGAATTGAAGCAAAAGCGAGGGTGGGTGGGGTGGGGGCTTCAAATCAAGTTACTCCTCCACCGTGGATACTGCAGTTGGGCAACAGGGAAAGCCCACTGTAGGGACGAATGCAGGTCCAGATTTAGGATGGGGTGACAGAGGAGGTTGCAAGGAAGGGTGTGGGTTGGAGGCAGGAAGAGTTTGAGGGATACTTTCTTGGGTTAGGTCAGAACTGAGGTTCATTCTGGAACAGGCCTCTCTCCCCGTCCTCGGTAGATTGCCAAATCCTAAAATTAGCTTGAAATCTCTCCACCCTTCAGGAATTCCGCGGTCTTCTGTAGTCTGGGTAACCCGTGACCTGTATCGGGATTTCTCTAGATAGGAGAAGACACTCTTTCCTACTGGGCATCCTGGACATGGTGCTGACTGTGCACAGGAAAATACTCTAGATTGGGGCTGGGTGGAAACCATTACAGGACATTCGTATCTGAAAACACATTCTTTTGTCCTACTCAGGAAAATTGCTGTTGGGAGAAGGCTAACTAGCCTCCAGAGGTTTGAGCTAATTACTTGCGTCCTTTGAAGCACACAAGACCCCGATCACAGCATCCTGAGGGTACTCAAGGATGGCCGGGTGGAGAGGCGGTTCAGCAGCACATTATAAGTGAGCTATGCAGTCTTAGCGGGGTTTGAAGAGTCTTTTCAGTGCCAAGCGTCCTCCCGACCCCCCCCCCCCCACCTGCTTTCCTATCTCCAGGGCCGGACTCCTGGAGGCCTCCAAGCTACGGGAGTTCCCCAGTTGGTGGGAACAAGTGCAGGAGCTTTTATATGTGACAGGAAATACTGGCTGAACCTGGCATCAGGGCCACAGGACTTCGAAGGATAACACTGAGCCTAGGGTCCCACTACCTTCCAGTCCCGGGTGGGGCCCTTCTCGCCCCTCCTCTCCCTGCTCCAGGCAGCCCGGGACCTCGCCGCTGGCGGGCAGAAACCAAGTCCCAGCCCCGATACTGAGCGCCAGTCCTGAGCTCCCACCCCGCCTGATCTGGCTCACCCTCCGGTCTCGGCGCCAGAGTCCACGCAGTCCTCCTCCTCACCGCCCGCCTTCGTGTTCATGGCGCGCGTGCCCGCCGCGCTCCCTGGGCCCCGGGTCCCTCTGAGCGCCTCTACCCGGGCCCCGCAAGGACCCGGCCCGGCGCGCCAGCCGCTCGCCGCGCCCTCTCGCGGCCGCGCCCTCCCCGCCCTCCGCTCTGTGCTGCGCGAGCGCGCCCGGGTGCCACCAGGAGGATCGGAGCGTGTGCACGGGATGCGCGCGTGTGCACGATCGCCAGCGTGAGTGGGGGGAGGTGTGTGAGGTGGCCTATCTCTATAAGCGTGGGGTGTAGTGGGCGTGCAGTGCTTAATCTTGCACCCACCTGGGTAAATGCTCGGCGGCTGTGCTTTCTATAGTGACTGGTACAGACAGTATGGGAGTGTAGGCAGTAAAGCTGCCATCCCCTGGGCGCACAGTAAAGACTTCGGAGTCCCTGGGCTTGCCCAGAGATTTTCTAGCCTCAGTCTGCTAGCAGCACCGGGAAACACCCACGGACACAACCACGGCAGAGTGGAATGTCACCATTTGAGAACCAGTTAAAACACATGGGTGTTTTCCTCCGGGTTCCTCAGTACTACCGAAGCTGAGTTCATTAATGCCTTGCTCAGCGTGCAAACCAGCCAGAGTAGCTTCTCACTGACCCAACTTGCCCACATAGATTCTTTTGTTATCTGTTTCAAAATAGCATGAAGAGAGCTAGATGCTCCTGTATTCAAGAAATCTGGAAGCAAGAGGTTGGTGGATGTTGTTAAACCCTGCCATCCCTCAGGGTGGGTTCATGATTGAGGTAGCAGGAGGTCATCTTTACTCTCGTAGATGAGGCAACTTGGTGGTGATGGGGTAAGAATAACTCAGACTTAACCCTAGTGCTGTTGTCACTAGACGCGTGGAAGTTGCTTATTTGTGTGTTCCAGAAATTCTCTTCTGAAGGGTAGCCCTGAGGACAGAACCGGTGGCCATGCACATGCTCTACCACCCAGCTGTAACCCAGCGACCTCTTCTTTTCAGACAAGTTATTTAACCTCCTTGAACCTTAATTTCTTCACTACTAGGCTACTGCTATCTTCCCTGAACCTCCATTGTCGGTTACGGGAGATCATATGTGTAAAAACAGTTTGTGAGTCCTGATACATGCCAGGTACCAGTTCAGTGAGCTGTCAGAGTCACAGGCAAAGCCTAACCAGCTGAAGTCCCACTCTCAACTTGCCCAGCGGTGTCACTCCTGTGTGACAAGCGATGAGGAGCAATATTGTCTCTTTCCTTTTTTCCTCTCTCCTTCCCTGCTCCTTCTTCCCACTTTACTTGGTTTTCATTGCTTTCCGATTCTTATTTAATAACCATGTTATTTATATAAAAGAGAAAGGTGGCAAACAAAAGCAGAGTAGAAATGCAATGTCACAATCAGAAAAAAATGTAGGTGAGTGTGCCCACACCAAGTCTGAATAACCTTTCCTAAACCTAAAATTATTTCCCCCAAACAAGCAAAAATGGATGTTATATTCAATTTGGTGTTCATTAGTTTAAAGAAGCAGTTCTTTAGGAGAAACGTGTCGTGGACTATCACTTTAACTACGTAAAGGTGTGTTACATTAGTTTATGTTGTCTTTGTTTAATGATGTAAAGATGTGATGCATTTGTTTTATCCTGCATGCCCGAGGTCTAATGAAAAGCTGATTGGCCAATAGCTGGGTAGAAGAGAGATAGGCGGGGCTGGCAGGCAGAAAGAATGATTAGGAGGAGAAATCTAGACTTGAGAGAAAATGAGAAGAGAATGGGGGAGAAAAAGAGGGACACTCCTGGGACCAGAAGCCAGGCACCTGCCATCCAGACATGGAGACAGCAGGAAAGTAATATATACAGAAAGAAAAAGAGGAAGGAAGGATAAAAGTCCTGAGGCAAAATGTAGATAAAGGGAAACAGATTCAAATAAGAGCTAAACTAAGGCTAATAATAAGCCTCTGTGTCATGATTAGGGAACTAGTTGGTGGCCTAAAACAAAAAGTCTGGTATAGAGACATATTCCAATTTACTTCAATCTAAAAATGTCCTCTGAAATCTCATGTGTTAAGAGCTTGGTGACCTGTTGATGGGCTTTTTGAGAAATGATTGGATCATTAAGGCTCTAACCTCATCTGTAGATCATCCCTGGATGAATTCATAGTTAACTGGACTATTAGAAGGCAGGGCCTAGCTGGAGGTCACTGGGGACCTATCTGTTCCCTTTGGGTGAACACTTCTACCTTGTCACACCCTCTGTAACATTGAGGCTGAAAAACACGGAGCCTACTGACTACAAACTGAAACTTCTGAACCTGTGAGCTAAAATCTCTCCTCTGGTTTTTTCTCTAATAAAGGGTCAAAGTGCATTGCCTAACACATTTAAAGATAACCCCCGAGACTCCAGAACATACTGGTCTCACATTAAGGAATGAAGACAAAGCAATTCTTAATTAAATTTGATGAAGGGAAACCCAAATTTGAATTCTCCACTTTTATCTCCGTTTCTTCTGTCTGTGGTTGCCAGCCTGTCTGTGATCTGACTGTTGTGTGTCTGTGTCTGATGCTTGTGGTTTGAGGCTGCCCCTAACAAAGGGCTCTGCTCTGTGCTTACAGAGTAGCACAGAAAGTGTGGCATTGGGAGAGGGATGAGAGATTCTCCATGGAAATCTTTGAAAGAGTTTTTATCAGGAACGAAGTCACCCTACCAACCCAGAACAGCAATGAGCACTCCAAACGTGTTGTCTGTCTATATCCACAGGTTGTTTTCAACGTTTGTGTGGGATGTTTGTTGTATAAGTTTGCTTTCAAATTGTATTATTATTAGGAATAATACAATTCTTAAGGAATGAATATGTGTATTTTAAAAGAGAACTCACTGGCAGCTTGGGAACAGGGTGGTGCACATGTACCTTAACTCTTTCTTCAGTGTCTGCAGAAACCTGTTTTATTCCTGTGTGGAGATCCAGAAATTTGCCACGTCTATTCTCAAAATCCATGCCAGAGAGATCTTTTATTCTCATGGGAATCTCACTGTTGAGGTTGATCTCTGTACCTCAAAAGGTCTCTTCCAAGCTGCGGTGCCCCCACTGGCATCTATGAGGCCCTAGAACTCCGTGACAATAAGACATGCTATATGGGGAAAGGGTCTCAAACCCTACTGAGCACATTAATAAAACGATTGCACCTGCTCTGGGTAGCAAGAAATTGACCATTGTGGAACAAGGGAAGATTGACGATTGAGATGGATGGCATGAAAATAAATCTAAATTTGGTGCAAATGCCATCCTGATAGTGTCCCTGGCTGCAAAGCTGGTGCCATGGAAAAGGGGTTGTCCCTTTACTGTCCCATCGCTGACTTGACTGGCAACCCTGAAGTCATCCTGCTGTTCCCAACTTCCAATGTGATCAATGGTGATTTTCATGCTGGCAATACGCTGGCCCTGCAAGAGTTCACAATCCTGCCTGCAGGGGCGTCTAGTTTCCAGGAAGCCATGTGCACTGGAGCAGAGGTTAACCACAACCTGAAGAATGGCATCAAGAAGAAATGAGGGAAGGAAGCTACCAATGTGAGTGATGAGGACAGGTTTGTGCCTAACATCCTGGAGAACATAGAAGCCCCGGAGCTGCTGAAGACCATGACTTTGAAGGCTGGCTACATAGACCAGGATATCATCAGCATGGACATGGCTACCTCTGAATTCTTCAGGCCTGGCAAGTATGACCTGGACTTCAAGCTTCCTATGATTCCAACAGGTACACCATGCCCGACTTGTAAAATCCTTCATCCAGAGTATCCAGTGGTGCCCATCAAAGACCCTTTTGACCAGGATGACCGGGAAACTCAGCAGAAGTGCACAGCTACTGCAGGCATCCAGGTGGTTGGGGATGATCTCATGGTAACCAACCCTATATGGATTGACAAGACTGGGTGAGAAGTCCTGCAGCTGCCTCCAGCTCAAGAGTGTAGGCTTTATCGGACGCTGTAACAATACGCGACACACAATTACTGACAGTAACGCTAAGTATTTAATGTAGAAAATTACTCACAAGATACCAAACCCAGAGGAGCAGTTTTCAGTGGCCGAACCGGAAGCCGATCTCCAGGAAAAGAGAGCGAGACTTCCTGTGTGCTGTCTTTTATGCCTTCCCCTGTAACGCCCCTAGCCATGCCCAAAAGTGGGCCTGGCTAGTGACGTAGTTCCGCCTACGTACGTATATGTCTTTAGTCCTGCCTAAAGTGGGTGTGGTTAGCGGTGTGGTAAACCGCCCTTTTATTACCTCATCTGTATGTGCCTCTAATAAGTCACATGTTTAATGGCGGCATCAGACTTCCTCCTACACAAGAGAACTGAATCTGTCTCTGCAGGAGTGTAAGCTGACTCAGTCTAATGGTTAGGGTGTCATGGAGTCCCATCACTCTGGGGACACTGAGGATACTGTCATTGCTGACCTGGCGATGGGGCTCTGCACTAGGCAGATCAAGACTGGTGCCCCTAGCCAATCTGGGGCTTGGCCAAGTAAATCAGATCCTTACAATCCAGGAACATCTAAGCAGTGATGCCAAGTTTGCCAGTGAGTCCTTCAGGAAGCCCCTGGCCACGTAAATCATGGGCTGGAAATCCCTGGAGCCCCACCAGTTTCTTACACCCTTTCTCTGATGTCATCAGGGTGGCCTCAAGGCCAATCCAGTGCTTGCTCCTCCCATGCCAACACTTCCTTAGAAGTTCAAAGCTCCTGACCACCTGGCACCCTGCTGGAAACCCCAGCTTTGTCTGGAACCACATGTTATCTCTAGGGTGGCCATAGGCAAGACCACCCCCCCAATGGTCTACATGCAAAATAAAAGCCCCAGTGACTCATTAAAAAGGGGGGTTGTGGTATTCATTAAAAGTGGTTTACAGCCAGCAGTTGTCTTCTCACAGAAAGGCCAAGAATCCAGGAGGTTTTGAATCTGTGAGACTATGTTTCAGCAGTTCCAATCTAGTGCTAGAGCCCAGGAGGGTCCCTACAGAGCACATGGTCTTCAGTCTACATTGGAATCACAAAGAAGTGGGTTCTAATGTCAGGGAAGGAATGCCTCAGCAACAGAATAGATGAACTTTCCTATGAGTAAGGGCAAGTAG